CTACCATCATCGGTGTCTATTATATGTCCACCATACAAGAAATGTAACAAACTTCGAAGACCAATATCCTTCTATTACGGATCAATAAGAACCCCCAACCAAAAAATAATAGGAATATGCCTAAAATACTTATTAAATTTACTTTCCATTTGAAAAATCATACTTCCAAATTAATCATCCATACGATATTTAGTAATTTTTTTAATATTTAAAATTTATAAAATAGCTAAACTAATGGTTGGATAATAACAGCCAGATAATAATAATGTAGCATCATTAAAAACTTATAGCATTTCTTTTAAATTACTTATAACTGTCCATTCATCTTCAGTAATTCCATACATGCTACCAAAGCTAAAACTAGAAGCATAAAAAGCAATAAAATTATTTATAATTTTTTTATATTCTATTGCTACACTTAACATTGCATAGGTAGAATTCCACCTATGGTCAACGTCTTTTGGAATCAGTCTGAATTTTACATTTTTCTTTTACAGAATTGTTTTCATCCTCTAATTCTTTGTTCAGAAGCATTATGCATATAAGTTACCATCCTAACTTTTTCTATCATGTGTTTAATTGCAGTAAATACATTTTGAACAATTAAATTTAAAATATGACAGATACATCTAATATGAAAAAGATCACCATGATATGACAATGACAGAGATTGTTTGATAAAATCAACAACTACATTATTATTACTTGTATTATCTAGTGAAAGAGAAAATGTTCTCTCTTAAATTTCTAATTTCAAAAGTTCTTCAATTATTAAATTTGCAACATTAATACCAGTATGTGACTCTTTAATTGTAATAAAAGAATAACTCTTTTAAATATTTGTTAATTTTCATCAATGCAGTGTACTGTGATAAATAATATCCAGTTTGTACTTTAGATGTCTAAATATCAGAAGTTAAAAAAATTTACAGTTTAAACTTTGAGAATAAGAAATTCTTTTTCCTTGTTCCTCCTGATAAAACACTCCTGATAATATTTTAAAATATCACGTTGACAAGTTTGACGAGAATTTTTTTTAAATGCGAGGTAAAAACTATTCGTAAATAAATCTTTAAATTCATCATATTCTACTAATTTAAAAGGAAGATTCTTAAGAATGATAAACCTGATGACACATTTCTTGGCACGAGCCGCGTCATAATTCCAACTAACGAGATTACCAGAAGATGAGGCTTGCGAGATCATAGATTGTCAGATATCACCTTGAGGCGTCTGGCCTTTATTGTGTTTATCTAAATGACGTTTGAGGTGGTTGGTGCCGCTCTTATGATGAGCTTGGAAAATCTTACCGTACAACGCACACTTAGCCTTCTGGGTGAGGATCCTACCGTGTTCATCCTTGGTGACGTCTATCTTCTTAAAAAATTCCACACATCAGATCTTGGCCTTTTAGGAGCTCTTAGTGTAGAATCGTCGCCACCTGATTGGGGATCAATATCGGTAGGATCGGTAGGAGTAGCTGTAGTAGGAGGACTCATTTCGGGAGTTAGGTTTTGCTCTTCATAATCAGATCTGGAAGCCATTTGATTGAAGAATTAGAGAGGTAAAACGATTATAAGAGAGCATAAGAGAGTATAAAAGTGTATTAGAGAGAAGTAGATAAATTTTGGCAGAGGAAAATAAATGAAAACCACATCTATTTATAAAGGCAGACTCCTGGACAAATGACAAAAAAACCCTTATTTTTTACCGTTTTTGGGGGCAAAACGGGCAAAACGACCAATATGGCCGTTATGCCCGGCTCAGCCAGAACGGTGACAAAACGGCCCATTAGGTCCGGCCCGGCTCGACCACAACGATCAAAATTTGACCCTGTTTGGTGGCCCATTATACGTAACGTTTTGTACGTTAATGCTGGGTCGGCCGGCGGCAGCATTTCGCGCGGAAAGCGGTCAGCGATTATGTGAGGCTGTTGGCAAGGTCCGGCGGCCGGCAGTTTTTGTTAGCGCCCGCGCCAGGCGCCGACGAGACGGTTCGTACCCGAGCCCGAAACCCGATCTGGCCCGGGTTTCCGGACCAAACCGGGCACCGGGCCAAATGGATAGCCCTAATATTAGATGAGCAAGAAAAGAACATGAGAACTTTGATGTGCCAAAATGTTTCATCAAGGGCCCTACATTAAACCAGTCGAAGAGATCTATATGAGCAGTAAGCAACATTAGCACCCATAAAAATAATAAATACAATATTGTGACCGAAAAAGGCTTTTAGGGAGCCCACGCTAGAACCACTATTTCTAGTCTAGTCCACATGCATTTACACTTTTTCCAAACATTCCCATTAGTTTACATTCACGGTCAATAGACAAGTACACCAATCATTTGGACTTGCTTAGGGACTCAAATTAAAGGATTAATCACCATATTTATATCATTGGCATTTGACTAGGTCAGCTCACATAGGATTTGTTGGTCGTAGGATCATCCAAATTAAAGTTAATCTTTTTTAAAATAATCAGAAAAGGACATGTGTTGAAGCAAGCTGTAAACTTGTGTCCGTGTTCATATTTGTCTTAACAGGTCAAGATCAACATCCGCCGCTCAATTTTGTGTGTTGGTGTTGAAGATTCTCACATCAGTATGCGATGCGAAATTTCTTTTGTCTGGCTTTAGGTAAACATCTGTAATATATATTAATTGGCCAAATAGCACTTAAGTACCTTGTAGTTTCACTCGCTTTGAATTTTATATATATATACCCTCGCTTGTTTTTCCATTTTATTTATATGCTCAAGTTGTCTAAAATTAACATGTTAATGTACTCCAAGGCGCAAGTGTGAAAATTTTTCACCGAATGTTTTTCACGTGGCTATTAGCATCAAGTAGCATGCGAATATTTGGGTGAAAATATTCGCTTTTGCGAATAGAGGGTACTAGAATATCTATTTTAGACAAAGTTAAGATGTATAAATGCTGAGAAGAACAAATGAGCATCGTGCAAAACACGTATTGTGATAGGATCGATCGGAGTGTAATCCCACGATTGTGATTAAACCATGATGGGTATGGTTAATCATAAATATCTATATAAGGGTGAGAGTCCCTCCCTTCAACCGTACGTAGGAAAAAGACCAACTTCCCATCATTGGCTACGGGAGGAGAGAGGAAAAGATTTCCATTGTTTTTGACGGTGAACGGTAATTTAGATCTATATTTCTAGTTCAACTTTTCACGCCTAGACCGTTAAATTATCCAACAAATTCCACCTACCACCTGCAAGGAATAAATCATAAATCCTCCAAACACCCTTCACCTCTAGGAGGAAATTATAAAGTTTAGAGTCGAAGGAACCCATCCATCTTCCTAAATCCGCACCTTGCGACAATGCGGTATGATGTTGTCTAAGTATGCAACACGAAGGTTAAATTTCAAGCATTTAAGGGGGGGATCAACCAACTTCACTTCCACAACGAGACAAAATAATTAGTTACGGGTTTTCTATAGAGTGGTCATGGACAAGAGAGGAGAGAGATAGAGAGAAATGAATGAGGAGTGGATCCCAATGCAAATTAGGGGCCTCCCTCTTCTCTCTTCACCCATGGACACTCTATAGAAAAACCGTTAGTTAATTACATCTAAACTCAGACTTTAAATTTCCTCTCTAGTTCACACAATAATTAGCCATAATTTAGTAGGAAATCGTTGCAGTGGCTTTTCACTCTATCATCATTCATTAATTTTAAAAAAGTTAACAAATAATGAATATCTGACCTTATACATTCACCTAAAGTGGACATTTCAGATTAGGATGGATTCGCTTCGAGTTATTATTAGTATTAATTAAGAAATTAATAGCAGTTAATCAACAGAAGCGCCAGCCTGGCACCAGTTAACCGCGGTTAATATGGGACCTTTCTTCCACCATTAGCCATAAGATGAGATTGAAGAAAATAAACCTCTTCAAAAATTCCTTTGCTGGTGAGGTGTTGAAAGACCATTATACCCCTCTACAAATTGAAAACTACAAAAAGATATATCGTAAAAGAGATTAATGGGTATCCTTGTCATATGAGGGGATTTCCTCCTTGATGCCTCTAAAATCACATGATTGAGCGATATTATGGATGATCCGCTCCGTTAAACTTGATCTACATATTCTAAAACCCTAACACACCAAGTTTGGGGTGAATCTGTCGTCGTTTGACCATCCATCGAGCCATGTGAAATGTTCTATTCATTCAAAACCGTTAAAATTGATATGAGTGGATGAAGGGTCAGACGACGACGGGTTCACCCCAAACTTGGTGTGTTGGGGTTTTAGAATATGTAGATCAAGTTCAACGGAGTGGATCATCCACAATGTCGCTCAATCATGTGATTTTAGAAGCGTCAAGGAGGAAATCCCCTCCTATGACAATGATACCCATTAATCTCATCGTAAAAACTAATTTCATTTCTTTTTGACTCTCTCTTCAGAGTTTCCTCTTCAAAAAGAATTATTTTTAGAGGATGCACTTTGAAGGTTTTTTTGTTCTAGTATACATTTTGATTAAGTTTTTCTTTTTTTTACGACAAGCATTTCGAAATAGACGAAAATAAACAGAAGAAGTTAAATGGTAAAAACAATAAACATATTATGGTCCAATATAGTTATCAGCCATCGACTCATTCATACGATCATCACTACAAACAACAAGTACATCGCACAAAATGCAATCATTTAATTTAAAGAATACATCCAAAGAAAATGATAACAATACCAAAAAAAAAATAAAAATAAATACCGCGTCAAACATCAATAACGATAATAAGAATCACAAGCCGTCTAAAAGAGTAAAATCCATACGAAAACCACCATGGAAAAAAAAATCCATTTGATATATTTTCTGACCAAAAAAGAAAAAACGAAAAAAAAAAAAAACAAGGAGATACGGGGAATTAATAATTCAGGAAAAATTCAAGGGCCAAAACGGTAATATATAAACGTTATATAAACGTCCTCATTATCTCCAAACTGATTTCTCCTCCAACTTGAAAAAAAAAAGAAAAAAGAAAAAAGGAAAAAGAGATGAATCTTTTTTCTAGAGCTTTGTTTCTCCGGTTCCCTCTGTCCGTGATCTCGTTATCATTAACGGCCGTTACGTTGGGCTTTAACGTCAGCAGGGTCTCCTTCGACGAAGCGTACGTCCCTCTCTTCGGCGAGTCCAACTTGGTTAAATCATACGACGGGACCTCCGTCAAACTCATCCTCAACCGTTACTCCGGTAAAAGAAACTCCGTCAAAGAGCCCTTTTTTTATTATTATTTAAAAAAAAACTATTATTCCGTTATTCTTCGTAATTATTAATTATTTTAACGTTTTGTTTCCGTTTCTGGGGAATTTTTTGTTTAATAGGGTCTGGATTTATATCGTCGGACATGTACCAATACGGCCTTTTCAGCGCCTCGATCAAACTGCCGTCGGATTACACGGCCGGCATCGTGGTCGCCTTCTACGTGAGTTTAACGCCGTTAGTCCCTGTCCGTTTTTTTGTTGATCGCTTCTTTTTTATTTTATTTTATTTTTTGTTCCGGTTGTTTTTTGCGTGGTCTGTTTGATTCGGCCGGGAACGCGGCGGTTTTTTCGAGCTTCCCGCTTTTTAAACGGGCGGTATATTATACAATTCGTGACGAGAAGAAATTTTCAAAACCGACCCAAATTATGTTTTTAGTTTTAAAACCGACATATTTTTTTTATTATCAAAATCGACTTATTTTTTGCCACGTCAGCTTAATCTTATTTCCTAATTAGTCGGGGTTGCCAACCCTGACTATTTAGGACAGCAAAAATCAGGTTTAAGGCTTCTAATTGGGGTTTAACAATCTCCTAAATAGTGGGGGTTGCCAACCCCGACTGTTTAAGAATTAAATTAAGCTGATGTGGTAAAAAAGTGGGTCGATTTTGATAAATAAAAAAAAGTGGGTCGGTTTTGATAAATAAAAATATGGTTTGGGTCGGTTTTGAAAATTCATTCTATGTGGGGATGAGCGGAGAACTGTGATTTTACAAGTTTACCCCTCTTGAATCCGTAACTTTGCGTTGTAGATGTCGAACGGGGACGTGTTTCGGAAGAACCACGACGAGCTGGACTTTGAGTTTTTAGGCAACATATGGGGGAAGCAGTGGAGGATTCAGACCAACATTTACGGTAACGGAAGCACGAGCCGCGGGCGGGAGGAGCGCTACTACCTACCGTTTGACCCCACGAAGGAGTCTCACCGGTATTCCATCCTCTGGACGACCGACGAAATAATGTAAGAAACTTAACCCCTTCTTAACCCGCCAAATAAAAAAAATCCATACCGACGAAGGATTAAGAGTTAACCCTTCTAATTATAAAGAAAATAGTCAAAACATTGTTATTCCCAAACACTAAAACTAATTACAAGGACTAAAATAAAACTTATTTAATGGGTTAATAATTTAGTCTTTCAGATTATCTAATGGACTAAGTACATTAATCTTTCTTTTTAACCCCTATTCCTTAACCCGTTGCCAAACAGGGCCTAAAGGGTTTTATAAAGACTTAGAAAAGAAGAGTAACTTGGTAGTTTGTCTTTGAGATGGTACAAGATTCTTAGTACCATGTGAATGTATATCACTGGCGCTATAAAAGGGGGATGAGTGTAGGAATCTATTGAAATTTGTAACCTGAATATTTTTTAAGTTTAGCTCTAAAAGAACACACTACTTGCTAGAATATTGTACAAAGTATTTCTCATTTGATAGGGAAGGGTGGGACTAACTCCTCCATGGCCTTTCTCATGCCATCTTATAGAAAAGGAAACAATTCATTTTATCTCCAAAGTTAGGTAGTTGCCTTTTCAATGAAATATGTTATGCTGATTAAATTATTTGTACCATCCACTGGGGGGGGGATATTGTTAAGCAATGTACAAAAAATATCTGTGAATATTTCTAAAACACTTTGTATTCATTCGTCAATTATGATCTAAATATGTTGTTTACTCGCGATTTTCTAGTCTAATAAGCAGTGTGGAAATGATAGGTAACAAAGCTCCGACAATATTTCTTTCAGGTTCTACGTCGACGACACCCCGATCCGCATTGTTCATCGCAGCCATGGGCGGCGACTACCCGTCCAACCATGTCCGTCTACGCCACCATCTGGGACCGCGTCGACGTGGGCCCGACCTCGTCGTCCTCGGCTGCCCCTCCGACCCCATCCAGGACCTCCCCTCCTCCTCCGCCTCTGACGACCAGTGCTCTGCGGCCGATGACGAGATCACCGCCTCCTCCCTCGCGGTCACGACCCCCGAAAAAATGGTCAAAATGCGCGCGTTCAGAGAGCGGTATATGAGCTATTCGGTTTGTTACGATAGTTTGAGGTATCCGGTGGCGCCGGAGGGGTGTGATGTGGTGGAGGAGGAGAGGGCGAGGTTTAAAGAGACGGGGCACCGCATGTTGGCGGTCGTCGAGACGGCCGCGGGTTGGTAAGCGGCGGAGCGGCGGCAGGGTGGCGGGAAACGGGAGGGGGAGTACTAGTTTTAGGAGCAGCTAGCCGATCGAGGCTTTTTGACTTCGTGAGCGTTTGATTGAAGACCGAAGTGAAAGGAATTTGATCGGTGTTGTTGTTATTGTTATTATACATATGAAACTTAACGTGTTTAATTGTAGTAGTGACAAATTTTTTTGCCTTCACCAAACGAAAAACCGTGAAAAAGTAAGGAAAAATATGTTCATTTGAATTACGACGGTTAAATATCATATCATAGACGATCCAATTCCTGTGATTTAGTTATGGATACGGACATGATCATCTGTAAGTAATATTCTGACGAAAAATGCCTCACGGACCCGAAAGTGGGACAGATAGAGGGGCACAGGTGGGATGTCCCCCTCTAATTGCATAATGAGTTGGTCATTTTCGGGTCCATGTAGAAGCATCCTATTCTGACTTATCAGATGTGTAAAATGAATGTAAAGTTAGATATGTTTGTAGAAAAAAAATTGATTTCTTTTAAAATGAAGATATCAAAAAATATATTATTAAAAAAACATATGGGGTGACTATATTTTTTTTCCTAATTAAGATCAGGATACATGATAAGTATTTCACAATGAGAGCAGATAGGGAGTGAATTATATAGACTTTATGATTTAATTTAGCAAATCCATCCTGAGATATTTTGCTACAGGCTCAACCCCACCCCACCCATCTCCTTGCTGTTTGCTGTTCGTAAAAATTGCTGATCCTACAATGAACATAGATTTTAGACATAGAAAATCTGCAGCCAATCAAAGCAGACCCTTTCACTGTTCCTCAGGATCAATATAAAGTTCCCAGTACATCACGAGGTGTCGTCCCACAATGAAGCACGTGCGATCTTTCGATAAAAGGGCACAGCCTTACAAAACTATACCGAGGGTATGAATACCGCCCTCCTTGGTAAAACCTTGAATCTTCCGCAATTATTTGTACCCCTATAATTTTGGAGGGAGGGAGGTCTCGTCTTTCATCTCTCAAATCCGACGACCATGGCGCCGCTTGAGGAGATCGCCGGTGATTCTGGCGACCGCAGAGATCGTCCGATCTCGACGATAGTCATTATTATAGGTACTTAGTTGATTGTGTGATTTAAATTTTTTTTTAGGGTTTTTGTTTCCTTTTGATTTGTAATTTGTCGAAATTGATCGCAGCGATGCAGACGGAGGCCCAGCCACTTGTGAACAAGTTCCAGCTCGCTGAGGATCCTAATGAGTCCTTGTGAGTGTTTTATTTGTTTATTTTTTTTTTCAATTTCTGAATATTTTATAATGAATTTCCCAGAGTGTTCAGTGGATTTCTTATAAAAATTGATGAAACTGATGTCGCGCCTTTGTCATGATTCTTGTGCTTGATGATTGAATCATGTAACAAACTGTGAACTTTACCATACAGGTTTCCCAAAGGTGTTCCGTGGGTAAATTATCGTGGCAAATATAAAGACTTGAACATCAATTTGGTCTGGCCTGGGAAAGATTCCACCTTTGGTGAGCATTTTATGATAATCATGTGGTTGTAACCTTTAATTGTCCTTGCCTGAATTGATTATGAAAAAAAGCTTATGCCTTGTTCCTTAATTATGAGCTTTATATTAAGAAATACTTGCTAATAAGGGATAATGAGAGGGGTTTTCACCTTTTTATTAAATTCTACGTAAAATGGGGGCTTGCTGGGGAAAATTTGTCTCTTAGTTGAGGCCATCACATGGTTTGATGAGAATCAAGGAAGTTATAGGTCAAGATCTTTTTTGTGGGTGTGAGGTTATTCTAATGCCTTTTTACGCAGATGGACTGAAATCTGGCACTTTCCCCTGCCTAAGCTAATCCGGCCGCTTTTACATGTTTATAGGAATTTGTGCTTGAAGATCTAAAAAGCATATAAAAGCTTGTATTTAAGAACCATTTTTGGTGTAAGTAAGTATGTTCATTAGGAAGGAGAACATTAGGCCCGTTAGATACTGGACAATGCAAGATACGAAAGAAGTGTCTAATGAAGATTCTGAAACATGTTATCCTGAGGAGTTAATAAATTGCGCTTTATGCTGTTTTTACTCCGCCCTCTCTATTTAAGCAGTTAGGAATTTTATCATTCTATGGTGTATTCTCATTATTCCTGTGACGCACTTCTCCTTGCTGGTGCCATATTGTTAATGTGGTTTCTATTTGTTACTTTCAGGAGTGGATAATGTGGGGACTGTACCAGCAGCTCTTGTGACATACGCATCTATCCAAGCGATAAAGCCGGACCTCATTATTAATGCAGGAACTGCTGGTGGCTTCAAAGTGCGTATCATCATCAGTATTATTTGATCTGAACTGTTTCATGAATCATCATTGAGAGGCATGTCTGGAATTTGCAGGCTCTTGCAATTTTTACTACTGTTACAACCTTTAACATTTGATCTTGTTCAAATCTTCTAATGTGAAATATTTTTTGGTTCACAATAAATATTGACTTTTTAGTCTTGTTTTGTCTGTTTTTAGAACAAATCCTTTTTTATTATCATGAGTGATCATCATGTAGAAATTTGTATTTAAACAATAGTTTTGTTTCGTAAACAATTCAATTTTTTCACCAAGAAATTTCCGAAAGGCCTATGTATAGTCTACCATCTTGAAGGTGATAGATTTTTTTTTTTTTGAGAAATAAGGTGATAGAATTATTGAACTAAGTAGATTAACTGGTTAAAGTTAGTGACCAGCACGTTAACTGCATTTGAATCTTCTAAGAATGTATTTGACTGCAGATTCTTATATTAGTATCAACTTTACAACATTCTACTTCTAAATTCAAAAGACATCTTTGCACTACATAAGCTCCTTGCTGTACTGTATAACACTTATAGACTGGCTGTCTTTCATTTTCTGTAGGTTTTTTTTTCCATTATTAGCAAAATAATGCAGCATATCAACTAGTTAGTTCTTTGAAATGTTTCAGGTGAAAGGGGCAAGTCTTGGAGATGTGTATGTGACTTCAGATGTTGCTTTCCATGACAGAAGGATACCAATTCCTGTGAGTTCTTTCATATATATTACTGATATTAATATTTATAAGATATCCTTACAGTTTCTGCTGTTAAATTTGCATGGGATAAAAGGTTATCCATCCTTTCTAGAAGTTAGTTGGAAGTCAACTTGCTTGTTTTCCCAAAGTTGTATATTTAGTTTCACAAACTTAATTCTGAGACTTCTTTATTTCAGTCTCCTTTCATTTATTCATTCTCTATGAATGCAGATTAGTTATTTCATATAATTCATAACTTGAGATGATAATTCAAACTGTGGCTAGCCTTGATTTTGGAGGAAAATGTCAAATACTTAGATGGATTTCCAAGTCTACTGAGTACTATTCCTACTCCTGCAATCAGAAGTTTGGCTTGTGTACCTAAGATTTATTTCTCACAGGTGTTTGATCTTTATGGAACTGGAGCTCGATGCACTTTTGGTACTCCTAATCTTGTCAAGGATCTAAACATGAAGGTAGCCACCACTTATAAATACTTATCTTACTAAGCAAAATAATGCAGCATATCAACTAGTTAGTTCTTTGAAATGTTTCAGGTGAAAGGGGCAAGTCTTGGAGATGTGTATGTGACTTCAGATGTTGCTTTCCATGACAGAAGGATACCAATTCCTGTGAGTTCTTTCATATATATTACTGATATTAATATTTATAAGATATCCTTACAGTTTCTGCTGTTAAATTTGCATGGGATAAAAGGTTATCCATCCTTTCTAGAAGTTAGTTGGAAGTCAACTTGCTTGTTTTCCCAAAGTTGTATATTTAGTTTCACAAACTTAATTCTGAGACTTCTTTATTTCAGTCTCCTTTCATTTATTCATTCTCTATGAATGCAGATTAGTTATTTCATATAATTCATAACTTGAGATGATAATTCAAACTGTGGCTAGCCTTGATTTTGGAGGAAAATGTCAAATACTTAGATGGATTTCCAAGTCTACTGAGTACTATTCCTACTCCTGCAATCAGAAGTTTGGCTTGTGTACCTAAGATTTATTTCTCACAGGTGTTTGATCTTTATGGAACTGGAGCTCGATGCACTTTTGGTACTCCTAATCTTGTCAAGGATCTAAACATGAAGGTACTCACCACTTATAAATACTTATCTTACTATTATCAATATTCTGCTAAATTTATCAGTGGTTGCATATTTGAGAATCTCTCTTCTCATGCGTTATTTCATGGTTTCCAACCTTGCATATCTGTAAATGTCAAACGTTCTTTCTTTGTTATGAGATTTATGCTAAATGTCAACTTAAGCTGATATCACTGATTGATGAGTTTGGAATAAGTGTTCCCCGTGAACTGAAGCTGTGACATTAGCTCTTAATGATATATGTTGAAACTAAAACATAGCATTAGACATTAGTGGTGAAATATATAATTATAGCACCGAACATGTATTGCTTTTGATTCTTATTTTCATTTAAAGAGAACTCCCCCCACCCACCCACCCACCCACACCCCAAAATAAAAAAATAAAAAAAAAGTTTTTTAGAGTTTGGTTTAAAAAGATGGATTTACCCCCCTAACACGCTCTTGTATTTTCTTTTTATTTTGTAGGTAGGTAAATTGTCCACCGGTGATTCTTTGGATATGTCCCCGCATGACGAGTCAGCAATTTTGGCAAATGATGCTACTGTCAAAGATATGGAGGTCAGATTCTATTGTGTTCTCATGTACTCCGCATTTAGTTATTAAAATAACTACCGTACAAATCGTAATTTGCAATTAACATTTTGTTTGTAAATTTGTGTCATCAAATAAGTCACTATAGCTACCACCACCATCTGAGATTTTCCCAATCAGTTGGTGACTGCAACAGACACAAGTCTCCATTATTATTTTTCAGTTAAGGTTTTAGATAAGTGTCCCAACAAGATGTCAAGTACCTAATTGGTGCTGTAGCCCGATAAAAGGGAAACTATCAACAAGAGTCATGCTTGTCATTCGTTTCAGAAGACAATTTACTAGTGGAGAAACCTACTTCATTGGTCTTGCATCTTACACTCGTGAAATCTTGGAGATTACCTTCAAAATTCTCCTAAATGAAGACTCAAGATAATAGAAGAACAGAGGCATGATGGATCAGCTGTGTGAATTTCATTTTAGTGTAGTAATTTGGTCGCGATTATCATGTTATCATCTATTAAATGCTGATGCGTCAAACTTGTTCAATTTCGCGTAAATTCTCAAGTTTATCATAATAAGAAACTTACTACACATACATGGGTTTCTTCGTGGTTTTTGCTCTCAATATCAACTAAAACAACAAGAATGGCATGGTTTTTATTTTCTCAGGCAGCAGCTATCGGCTATGTGGCAGACCTATTCTCAGTCCCAGTGATCTGTGTAAAAGCTGTAACAGACATTATCGATGGGGATAAGCCAACATCAGAAGAGTTCTTGCAGAATCTGGTGTCCGTCACTGCAAAACTGGACCTGGCTGTTACGGAAATGATT